TGAGCAGCTTTGCTTACCTCAAGAGGACGCTCATCGGGTGCGTCGTTCTCCTTAGACAAAGAGCGGATCTGGATCGCTGACAGAATCTGCTTCACTGCTTGTAGAAAGAATGTCTGGCTTGGCACCACTAGATTATCAAAGAGGGAGTTGGATGGCATATACGACCCCGAAAAGATGAAGAAGAGGTGAGCAAGTGGGCAGCGGTCTTTAGCCGAGCTGCATCAACATCCTCGCTCGCTGATGTGGACAGGCTGACCATGCTAAGCGCCATGCATGCTTGACTCAGATCACACCGAGCTCTGCTCGTAGGGCTATCCCTTGCTCCACTTCTCGACGTCCCCACACTCACCGAATTCGTTCGCAGCGTGCTGGCCGTCATTTCAGAAATCGACTCGACCCCAGATCCTTCAGCGCTCATGAACAACGCGCCGTACGGCTTTTCAAGCACCCCTCCTACCGGTGCAGGTGCTAGCAAGGGGACTGGTAGCGTGGTAAGCAAACGACGACTATGCTGGCCCTCGTGAAAATTCCACGCCCTGACATTGCGCTTCTCGACCTTTTTGCAGCGCAACTTTTTTAGTAGAGGAACAGTTCGCAAACCTCGGGGCACCACATTTGACCTGGACAAGGACGGCACCTCCACTCACTCCGGCTTCTACTCAGCTTCCGGCGCTACTGGACCGGTCCCGGGGAGCGCTGCCAATCTAGATCACATCAGTGATTCCAATACCACTGCCTATGCTGACAGTGGCAGTTCTTTTCATGCCCAAAGTGGCGCAGTGGGGGATGCGAGCGTGATTGGAATGCATCTCGTGAGTCCGACGAAGCATGCAGTCGAGGTTTTGCTGCAACCGAAAGCAAAGCAAGAGCGAGCTGCTAGGGTGCGACAAGGGCTCACATCGCACCGCTTTACAGCCCTTTGCACTAGACTACTACGAAACATTCATCACGCTTCTAGACGTCTTGACAGAAGTGTATAGCAAAGTGCTTTCTTTTGTTCCTAGCAGCGGCGCCGCGCCTTCTATCTCTGGCTTGCCGAACCAGAGCGCAGGATACTTTTCGGAAATGAGTGGAGGCACATCACAGGGCCTGTCCCCTGTCACACCCTTCCATTTGAGTGGACAAGGCCCGACAGATATCTCTGTGATGCAGGTGGAACTCGTACTCAAAATGGACGCCAAGCTCAAGGTGAGTGCTTTGTTGCAACTCGATCATAGCTTCTTACTGAGCCACCTTGCTGCCTCGTCCCGGCCACCAGAAACACATCGCCCAAGTCTCCAAGGAGATTGACAGCGTGGCTCGGCACGTAGCCAAGACGGAGTTGGACAGTCTAGAAGGCCTGATGAAGGAAGCACTGCTATCTCCCTCCTTGACCAGTCCCTCGAATCCTTATGGAGCATCAACAACTCCTACAGGGCCAGGGACCGCGGCTCTGGGCCAGACGCTCAATCCCAGCGGGGGCGGGCTCGGGGGCAGAGCGAACGAGCTGAGCGCACCTCTCGCCAAGAATCAAGGCTTTCATCAGCTGCAACCTCACTCGTCGCAGAATAGCGACGCGCCAGGCCAGGATGCGACGATTTCAGGCATTGGCGCCGCTCCTAATAGTTCCGCACCAGCTCTCCAAACCCAGTATCATCCGCGCGAGACGCGCCAAGCTCCTCAGACGTCAGGCCCTGCTCGTACTGAACATTGAGTATCAACTGTTGGCCGAGTCTTGGACCTCCGCGTCTGTTGCCATGGAATCTGTACCTATACGCAATGCCCACGCTTGACATTTTGTAATTTGTACTTTGTTTTCGCATCACAAACGTCCTGACGGGTGCTTTCACGATGTCGGCAGCAGTCATGGCGCAGTCGGACGACGCGCTGTATCGCACGCCCACTCGTCCTGCCATTTCATCATCATTGCGCACTTTTGGATGCTACACGTCGACTTGAATCTCCAACCGAGCATTCGCAGCCTCTTCGACCGCATTCCTCCACTTGACATCTGACAACGCCACCTCGTCCCGCCTAGGCAAAGGTTGAAAAAGCCCAGCAGCGGCCAACTCTTCAAACGCGATTCCCTGTGCAGAGCTAGTCCTCAACGCATCCAAGCGCATCTCTTCCATCGCCCTGGACTCTACCAGCAGAGCGTCCTTTAGGTCTCGCAATTTGCTCTGCGCTTCAATCTCAAACTTGCTCAAAGATGCGCTCAAGACACTCGCTGCTGAGCGATGAGCTCCTGATAGCACCAAGAGGTGTGGGACTAGAGCAGCAGTCGACGCTGTCGTCGTGGTCGGATCGATGCGCGTCAGCATGTATCTCGCCAGTACAAAGGGCCGACAGTCGTATCTGCTCACATTGCACCTCTCTCAATCTGCTGCCGAGCAACTTCTTCAAGCTCTCAAACAGATAATCTTCCTCGTACACGCTTCCTTTCTTTCCCGTCACTCGCTTCTTCTCTTCTTTCTTCCTCTGCTTTGCCGTGAGGTTGCTCATATCCGATCCAGCGATGGACGTGCTTCCAGCCGCAGACGCCGTGAACCTCGTGAATCGCGTGAAGCGCGACAACGCGGATATTTTCGTCGATGCATCGCTGCGCCCATCTGCTTCAGGGTCTGGTGGCCCATCGTCCGGATAGAATTCCTCTGTGCACGCAAGGTCGCAACTCGGTGAGGTGGGGCATGACGCACGGTGATCGATCAGACTTACCCGGGCTCTCTCGCTTCTTGCGCCGCAGCTCTGCCATGCGCACCAAAGTGGTATCTAGCTGCTTGTGCATGGCTTCAACATCGTCCAGCATAGTAGTCTGCGCCTCAAGCGTAGCCGGCTGGCGAGAGGCAGCGAGTACGAGCAAGAGACGACGGTGAGCTTCCCAAACATCGAGACAGCACTTGATCAAAGCTATGGACTCACCTTGACATGAGTCTCGACAAGATCCATGCGGCTATGATGAGCGCACTGCAAGAAAAGTAGACACCCTTGTGAGCATAGCTCTAGCCGCGTCACTTCCCGAGTATATAAAGGGAGCCCACTTACCATTCGACGCGCTTCAGAGAAATGGCGTCCTGTACTGAGTAGCTCAATGCCTCGATCGACATCCTTCGCATACTCGATGGCGACGCGCGCAGCGTCTTCATACCTGCCAGCGTCACTGAGTGATGCTGCAAGCGCATTGTAATTTGTGAACATCGTTTCGCTCGGGCAAATTGTGTGGCCACTCACCTGTCAGCATGTCGGCGAGGAGCTCAATTTCTGTGGAGGGTAGGCGAGGTGGTTCTACGGCAATCGCAAATGCGTTGAGCCAGTCGTCTGCTCTCTTGTACGCATCGATCGCCTTGCTTCTCTGCCGAGCAAGAACAAAAGCTAATGTAGATTGGAAATCGCAAGCCGCTTCAGTCGCAGGACACACTCAAGCGAGACCCACTTGCTCAACTACACTCACCAGCGCCAGCTTCCGAGTATTTTTGCTTGTTCACCAGAACATCGCCGTACCGCTCGTAAGCGGCTCTTTGTCTTCGAGGCTCATGAGCCCAAGCGACGATGGCCTGCTTTTCCAGGTTGTGCCTCTCGGCGTATTCTACTGCAGCTTCGTAATGTTCGTCTCCCGCGCGGGCAATCCAGCTCAGAGCCTTGCCGTGTCTGCCTAGCCTATCATCGATCTCGTATCTTTGATAGTGCACGTTTTCGATGGCCCGAATCGACCGCAACTCCTCGAGATACTCTCGCGGATCTTTGCGTGGCGAGTGCTGAGCTACCAACAATGGCAGCACAAAGTCGTAAAGACCAAGCGCTGCTCGATAAAGCTTGTCCGCGTCTGCCAGAAAAATCAAGTACTGGCATGCTGAATCTGCGGCCTCGACGTCTTGCACTGTTCGATAGGAAAGAAATCACATAAGTCTGGTTTCAATTTGCCTGTCCGCTGAATGCGAAACCCACCGTGTATGTCGCGAAGGCGAAGTAGCGCGCCTTCAAAATTGGGAGGGCTCTGCTTCACAAACGTGACCAGACAGCTGTTCGTCCAGCGCTTGCCAAGGGGCTTTCTATCAAGTACGGCGCGCATCTTCTCGCACAGCTCATTCAGCTTGTCAGCGTGAAGCAACTCTGTTGAGAGAGCAGAGAGGAACAAGTTAAGATGATCTTCGTGCTCCAATTGTGTGACAAACAGCTCGAGATCGCTGAGCAACGCCGAGTGCTGTGCAATGATGTTCAAGTCGATTCGATGCGTTCGACAAATTCCGAATGCCAAGCCGTACTGCGAGCTGCAGAATAGTTGCGCAGGGAAGCGTTAGCTTGTCCCTTTGCCTCGCAGAGAGCCAAACTCACCTCGCCAAGTGTTGGCGGACCACGGACAGAATCAGAGGTCTCGGATAGATGGTCTCCAAGTTGCCTCTGGGCATCTGTAGTACGATGGACATGCTGCTTGGAATGGCCGTCACAATCCTGCTCCCTCGCTCCACCCTCCTACTGAGTGGAATATCTCCATCAGAAGCACCATAGCGATGCGAGTTGCCCTCCTCGTTTTCGTTCTCGTTCAATTCAACACACGAAGATAGGGAGAGAAATTTCAATCGATGCGCCGATGTGCTCCACACCAGCGTGTCGCCGCTCAGGACAAAGGAAGTAGCATCCGAAGCGATGCACCTTTCGTTGGCGTAGAGCTTGCCAGACGTCGAAAGTCCGAGCGTAATCCCGACCGAGGTGCCGACAGCCTGCTCTGACCAATCTTCCGCAATGTGCGCGATCCTTCTATGCATAATTGAGGGACACCATTCTGTGAGCCTCTGCATGTCTGCGTCTTGTTCTTCGACGCCTTCGATGGGGCCAGAGAAGCCTTGCCCAGAGAAGAGACGTCCAAATGAGTGTGTGAGCGCTCTTCGCCGTGGCTCCCGAACTAGTCAGTTTGAGTCTCACCTTTGACAGAGCCGTCAGCACTGTGAACACAGAAATCTCCGGCCCTCGTAGCTCCAAAGCCCAGGCGTGGGGCAAGGACGCGAGGGGCGCTGGCACCCAGGCCTAAATCTCTCATAGAGCTCTGCGTCGCGGTGCGTCGTGTCTCATCCATCTCTACGTCGCACAAGCTAAGCAAGTCTGATGTCCCGAATCGGTCTGTGCCGAGAATCGCCACGCGCAACAAGTTCCCCGTGTCACCATCACCGAGTTTTGAGACTGCCACCTGTCTCGAGAGTCCAAGGGGAGCAGCTGCATCTTCTGCATCGAATGGTAAGGATGCCACTTCGCCGAGCAATCGAGGCGCATGCAATGGCCAGCCGCCTTGGGGAGCTTTCTTTGCGAGATTGCCCCACTCGCACGCGTACAGCAACACGCATCGTCGCATAGGACCGCAAATCAGGAGGGCTAGAATGCTTCGTGACGCATCTTCTGTAGAGTCGTCGCACCAGGCCACATGTCTTATAGTGCCAGATCGCTGCCCGAAATCCTTGTTGGTCTCTGCTTCGCTAATCGACAACGTGTATGCGGCAAATGGAGGGGGCACATTGCGCGTCCTGAGCGGGGTTAGTCGCAGATGGGTCCCGTCCATGACTGCAGCGCAAGCAGCGTCGTGCGGCATATCCTCATTCGAAGTGATTTCGACGTGGCTGAAAGTGTACGAGATGACTCTTTGACTGGTCAGGAGACGGAGAGACAAGACATCTTCGCCATGCCAAGTGCAGTGTTTGATTTGTTCGCAAGGCGCAACTTCGAGCTCTTGGCGCAATGTCCAGCAGTAGTTCGTGGGCGACCAAATTTGAAGCAAGTGCTGATTTTCCGCTGTTGGGGACATCCTGACCAAATGAATCGCCAACAGACTACCATCAGAGTTCCAAGTGAGGTCTTGGATGGAGTGTGGCGTGCTTCTGTCAGGAAGGGAAGAAGATGGCAGGCTTCCAAAAGGACCAACAACGGGCATAGAATGCGAGTCTTCCCGCAGGCTAAACTCTCCGTGCCTCAAGCCCTGCGTGCGCGATTGTTGTTCAGCCTGCTTGGGCTCTACCAAGCGCTACGACCGCAGTCGCCACTCACGTTGTTCTCCACAAAGACGACATCGTGTCGGCCCTGCCGACCAGGTTGCAGGTTTAGACTCTCGCCGAAACGTTGTGAGGAAGCGATCAAGAGCGAGTTGGGCTTCCAAGCAGCGATGTGGCTTAGCCCTTTGATGGGCTCGTTGATGGTGGACAGCACGCCACTCTTGTCGTATATCCTCAACACTCTAGACGAAGTGCTTTGGCCCTCGGCGAAAGACTGCTGACTGATGCACGACACTACGAATGACTCGCTGTTGCTCCTCCAGGATATGCGGGGGAGCAGATCGTCATCCGGCAAGATTGAGCTTCTGCCAGATGCCGAGGCTTGCTGCGATGCCAGAGCGGCGCCTTGCTTGCCTGCCTGACCGTGAAACTGCGTCTCGATGGATCCCCAACCGAGATTGACAAACGTGTCTGAGCAAAGTCACAATGACGAGTCGAGTGTAGATGCATCGATGATCAGCTCTGATGACGCGCCTTACCTGCATGCCTGCCTGCCTGCCCCCTTTGCCCCATAAAGTCTTTCGACTTGACGCTGGGGCTGCTTGCTGGATCTCTCGCAAGTCGACGCGTGACTCACCTTTGCCCAAATCGGGGGAGATGAGGACGCTTTCGTGCTCCACTTCCCAACTCCTGCTCATCACCAGCATCTTTTCCGGCCCATCCTCTTCCGACGCTGCAGTGATCAGCACCAATCGCTCCTCGTCGGGACTCCAAGCGGCGGCAAGGATGCCCTGCTCCACGCTGCCCACGATTTCCGGAGGAGGCGGTGGAGCGGAGGCAAGGGACTGGGACTGGCCTTGGCCTGAACCATCATATGGAAGCGCAACCACGCCAATGTCTCCACCCGAAGTGACAATGATGAGCGCATCAGAGCCGTCTTGCGCAGCATCGCTCAGGTACGCCAACGACAGCACTTGACTTCTTTCGGCTGTACCTTGGGGTGAGCCAGGAGCGGCAAAGGAGCAGATGCTGCGTGCATGGTGCGAGCCGACTGCCTCATGCTGCGACTGTGACGTCAAATGCGAGTGCTGGTACACGTCAAAAGTGACCAGTCCTGCATGTGTGGTTGATGGCCTTGATGTGGCCCAGTACAGCGTGTGGGAAGTGGGACTGACTGCCAAACGATCATTGCTCACTACGATGCTCGAGGGCGAAGATGAAGACGAAGATGAAGGCTGGCTATGCTCAGTCGGAGTGCTGGCAGCAGTAGTGAGGTAGGATGGCGATGAGAGAAGGACGAGGTTGCGCATGTTGTGCAGTGAGCAAGCGTCGCGAATGCAAGGAAGGACACTCGGCGGCGGCAGACTGCGCTTTGGGCTT